GTGATATGATAATACACACGTCCCCTGTTTGTGATATGATAACACACGTCCCCTGTTTGTGAGGTGATAACACACGTCCCCTGTTTGTAATGTGATAACACACGTCCCCGGTTTGTGATATGATAACACACGTCCCCTTTTTGTGATGTGATAACACACACGTCGCCTGTTTGTGATATGATAACACACGTCCCCTGTTTGTGATATGATAACACACATGTCCACTGTTTATGATGTGATAACACACATGTCCCTTGTTTGTGATGTGATAATGCATATGTCCATGTTTGTAATATGATAGTACACATGTATCCTGTATGTGATGTGATAGTACACATGTCCCTTGTTTGTGATGTGATAACACACATGTCCCCTGTTTGTGATGTTTGTGATGTGATAACACACATGTCCCCTGTTTATGATGTGATGACACACATGTCCCCTGTTTGTGATGTGATAACACACACGTCCCCTTGATGTGATAACACACCTGTCCCCTGTTTGTGATGTGATAATACACACGTCCCCTGTTTATGATGTGATAACGCACACGTCCCCTGTTTATGATGTGATAACACACATGTCCCCTGTTTGTGATGTGATAACACACATGTCCCTTGTTTGTGATGTGATAACACACCTGTCCCCTGTTTGTGATGTGATAATACACACGTCCCTTGTTTATGATGTGATAACACACATGTCCCCTGTTTGTGATACGATAACACATGTCCCCTGTTTATGATGTGATAACACACATGTCCCCTGTTTGTCATTTGATAACACACATGTCCCCTGTTTATGATGTGATGACACACATGTCCCCTGTTTGTGATGTGATAACGCACACGTCCCCTGTTTATGATGTGTTAACACACACGTCCACTGTTTGTGATGTGATAACACCGTCCCCTGTTTGTGAGGAGATAACACACGTCCCCTGTTTATGATGTGTTAACACACACGTCCACTGTTTGTGATGTGATAACACACCTGTAATATGATAGTACACATGTATCATGTTTGTGATGTGATAGTACACATGTCACCTGTTTGCGATGGGATAGTACACATGTCCCCTGTATGCGATGTGATAGTACACATGTCCTCTGTTTGCGATTTGATAGTACACATGTCCCTTGTTTTGTGATGTGATAACACACAATGTGATAGTACACATGTCCCCTGTATGCGATGTGATAGTACACATGTCCCATGTCCCCTGTTTATGATGTGATAAAACACACGTCCACTGTTTATGATGTGATAACACAGATGTCCCCTGTTTATGATGTGATAAAACACACGTCCACTGTTTATGATGTGATAACACACCATGTCCCTTGTTTGTGATGTGGTAACACACATGTCCCCTGTTTGCGATGTGATAGCACACATGTCCCCTGTTTATGATTTGATAACACACATGTCCCCTGCTTATGATGTGATAATACACACGACCCTTGTTTGTGATTTGATAACACAGACGTCCCCTATGTGTGGTGTGATAACACACATGTCCCCCGTTTATGATGTGATAATACACTTTGCGATGTGATAACACACATGTCCGGTTTTGTGATGTGATAACAAGATGTCCCTTGTTTGTGATACGATAATACACATGTTCCTTGTATGTGATATAATAATACACACGTCCCCTGTTTGTGATGTTATGACACACACGTCCCCTGTTTGTGATGCGATAACACACACGTCCCCTGTTTGTGCTGTGATGACACACATGTCCCCTGTTTGTGACATGATAACACACATGTCCCCTGTTCATGATGTGATGACACACATGTCCCCTGTTTGTAAAGTGATAACACACACGTCCCCTGTTTATGATGTGATGACACACATGACCCCTGTTTGTGATGTGATAAATGTCCCCTGTTTGTGATGTGAAAACACACATGTCCGGTTTTGTGATGTTATAACACACATGTCCCCTGTTTACGATGTGATAACACACATGTCCTCTGTTTGTGATGTGATAGTACACATGTCCTCTGTTTGCGATTTGATAGTACACATGTCCCTTGTTTGACATGTCCCCTGTTTGTGATGGGATAACACACATGTCCCCTGTTCATGATGTGATGACACACATGTCCCCTGTTTATGATGTGATCACACACACGTCCACTGTTTATGATGTGATAACACAGATGTCCCCTGTTTATGATGTGATGACTCGCATGTCCCCTGTTTGTGATGTGCCCTGTTTATGATGTGATGACTCGCATGTCCCCTGTTTGTGATGTCATAACACACATGTCCCCTGTTTATGATGTGATAGTACACATGTCCTTTGTTTGCGATGTGATAGTACACATGTCCGGTTTTGTGATGTTATAACACACATGTCCCCTGTTCATGATGTGATGACACACATGTCCCCTGTTTATGATTTGATAACACACATGTCCCCTTTTTGTGATGTGATAACACACATGTCTCTTGTTTGTGATTTGATAACACACGTCCCCTGTTAGTGATGTTATAACACACACGTCCCCTGTTTATGATGTGATCACACACATGTCCCCTGTTTGTCATTTGATAACGCACATGTCCCCTGTTTGTGGAGTGATAACACACACGGCCCCTGTTTATGATGTGATAATACACACGACCCTTGTTTGTGATTTGATAACACTTATGATGTTATAACACACATGTCCCCTGTTCATGATGTGATGACACACATGTCCCCTGTTTGTCATTTGATAACGCACATGTCCCCTGTTTGTGGAGTGATAACACACACGGCCCCTGTTTATGATGTGATAAAACACACGTCCACTGTTTATGAGTCCCTTGTTTGTGATGTGATAGTACACAATAACACATGTCCCCTGTTTATGAGGTGATAGTACACATGTCCCTTGTTTTGTGATGTGATAACACACACGCCCCCTGTTTATGATGTGATAAAACACACGTCCACTGTTTATGATGTGATAACACGCACGTCCACTGTTTATGATGTGATAACACGCACGTCCACTGTTTATGATGTGATAACACGCACGTCCACTGTTTATGATGTGATAACACGCACGTCCACTGTTTATGATGTGATAACACGCACGTCCACTGTTTATGATGTGATAACACACCATGTCCCTTGTTTGTGATGTTATAACACACACGTCCCCTGTTTATGATGTGTTAACACACACGTCCACTGTTTGTGATGTGATAACACAAACGTCCCCTGTTTATGATGTGTTAACACACACGTCCACTGTTTGTGATGTGATAACACACCTGTAATATGATAGTACACATGTATCATGTTTGTGATGTGATAGTACACATGTCACCTGTTTGCGATGGGATAGTACACATGTCCCCTGTTTGCGATGATATAGTACACATGTCCCCTGTTTGCGATGTGATAGCACACATGTCCCTTGTTTATGCTGTGATAACACACACGTCCCTGTTTGTGATGTGATAATACATTGTGATGTGATAACACACATGGCCCCTGTTTGTCATTTGATAACACACATGTCCCTTGATTGTGATGTGATAACACACATGTACCCTGTTTGTCATTTGATAACAAACATGTCCCCTGTTTGTGATGGGATAACACACATGTCCCCTGTCTATGATGTGATAACACACATGGCCCCTGTTTGTCATTTGATAACACACATTTGCCCTGTTTATGATGTGATGACTCGCATGTCCCCTGTTTGTGATGTTATACCACACACGTCACCTGTTTGTGATGTGATAACACAAACGTCCCCTGTTTGTGATGGGATAACACACATGTCCCCTGTTTTTGATGTGATAACACACATGACCCCTGTTTATGATGTGATAAAACACACGTCCACTGTTTATGAGTCCCTTGTTTGTGATGTGATAATGTCCCCTGTTTATGATGTGATAGTACACATGTCACCTGTTTGCGATGGGATAGTACACATGTCCCCTGTATGCGATGTGATAGTACACATGTCCTCTGTTTGCGATTTGATAGTACACATGTCCCCTGTTTGTGACATGATAACACACATGTCCCCTGGTTGTGATGTGATAATACACACGTCCCCTGTTTGTGATGTGCTAACACACATGTCCCCTGTTTGCGATGATATAGTACACATGTCCCCTGTTTGTGATTTGATAAGCCACATGTCCCCTGTTTGTGATACGATAACACCACACATATCCCTTTTGTGATACGACAACACACATGTTCCTTGTATGTGATATGATAATACACACGTCCCCTGTTTGTGATTTGATAAGCCACATGTCCCCTGTTTGTGATGATAACACACATGTCCCCTGTCTATGATGTGATAACACACATGTCCCCTGTTTATGATGTGATAACATCAATGTCCCTTGTTTGTGATGTGATAAAATACATGTCCTCTGTTTGTAATGTGATAGCACACGTCCCCGATCTACAACACGTATAAGATGTGAATTGAAGACGTGTTCTACCGTTATATGCATCTGAAATGAATCACATACTGTTTCATCCCTTATTTTTTCATATCAGGTTTAACACATTCCCATTTTAAATAAACGAAGTTGTTTACATTGCCAAAACCTGCTTGACCTACTTTCTCACCTCGCCTCCCAATGTGATCTATCCGCCACGGCATAACACCGCTGTATTGTTAATTGTCACCCCTAGCCTGTAACAATGGCTGCCGCCGTGTTCGTAGTGATACTGTCGACTTGTATTGATTGATTCACTTCTAACACTCTTCGTATCATGTTAACCTTGATTAGTTTCTGTTAAAAGATAATGAAAACGCGTGACGATTTTCCTTAATCAGCACTGGCATGCAAAGATTCGTTATGTATGCAAGTGAATACCGTAAAGCTAACACGTGCATTTTAAACATCATAAGATATATTAGATGTAACAATATTTAAATTGGTAGATGTTTTTCCTAATAACGTCACATAAGGAAATATTTCACTATATTGTACGTGTCTTGCTTCCTTTCCAGGACTACTGACATCCGGAAGGGATGAAGCTGTTCACAGTAGAAGATCCGTTGCTTTATGTGGGTCGTGTGAGTCAAAGACTTCTATATATCCGAGATGGTTTTGGGAATTAACCAGCACAGTCGTGAACCTACTGTGCTCCCCGTATTCTCCTATCTAGTATCAGCAGCTTAGAAACTGAGGACGCCGTGGCACTATTCCTGACGACAATGTCCGTTACTTACACCTTCAACAACAACCATAATGATGTTAACAGTGATCCAACTACCACTCAGAATGGAGGAGTGGAGTACTTCAGGGGTTCCACTAAACCCCGTACTGCTAACTGTGACAGCAGGCCACAGGCCAAACCGCACACAAGTAGTTGCGAGAAGGTCGATCTTACAGTGCATTTAGCTGGTCATTCAAACTGTGCAAAACCCTGGACGGCCCGTGAGAAATACCTGGCCACCATCTGTCTCCTGCTGTTTGTGGCTGCCGTCTCATTTGTTATCATAGCCTTAATCAGAGATGAGAGGTGTAGCAGACCCACCAGTAATGGTAAGTTACTTCTCGTTCTTTTATTCTCTTATGCAATGTAGGATGTCTCAAAACACTATATTTCAGCGTTCTACGAATATAATGCATGTACTCTGTAATATCAGAGGACAATATACTGCCACAACCGTCTATACTGTATGTGTTCTGTGGTACCATTCTCACATTGCTTCATCATATAAGCTTTTTACTGATAGAAAAGTATATGCTGTTTGCGTACAAACTCCTATCCATAAAAGTCCAGTGGTTAATTTCCCTTACGTTCTCTCCACCCCTTAAAATATCATGACGAAATTGGACGCTTTGTACGCGCCTCTTTTTAAGATGATACAGGTTGGAACCTTTAATGAACATTTTTTTTTTAAATCATGCGGCAGTGTAACGGTAAAATTGACCGGTTTGGGAGCAGACGTTGCTCCACTTAAAAGGACTGATATCAGCCTAGTGATTTGCCAGTTTTGTTTTAATGAAAACTAGTCAAATAGCTACCCGCGGGCTTTTAATTTTGTCATGACATATATCAGGGACGGAGAGTACGTTAACTAGAGTATCCCTGGAATTTCGAGGATGACAACTGCAGATTTCACTATATTATTATTGTACCACACAAAGCTGCATATAACATATAGCAAGTGTTAAGTATTTAATATTAAGGATCGTAATGCATACATCACGATGATGCTAAGCAAGGATGTGATGGTTGTTCTGAGGTTTGTAATATAATTTTAAAAGGAAAGAGAACATAATGTACAAGATTGCATTTTAGATTCCCCGTAGGGAAACAGTTGCATGAATTGTAGGGAAATGTTCGTTTAAGCTCAGAAAAGTTGGATTAACTGAACCTGGAGTGTATCCTTTAAAACTGCCGCTGGAAAAATGTACACTGTCGACTGTCCTAACACGGTCCAACCAACATTCTTCGTTTAATAGCATAGGCATATTGACCGCAATTACTAAAGGCAATCATAAATGTTCGCACAGCTGTCACCCTATATAAACTAAACCCAGCTGATATTTAAAAAAAAAATGCTTTCCAGCTACAATGTCCCCTAGAAAGACAAAAGGTCAACGAAATATTTTAAAAATGTGACTTCTATAAATATAATGTTTTTTCACGCTCAAAATGAATTAATTGGAATGTTATTGTAGGGTAATGACCAGCTGTCAGTAAGGACGTGCATGATAGAGCCGTTACAGTTCAGAACGCTGAGTCATCAGGGTGGCACCTGCTTTGACACTAAAACAAATATGGATCTGGAGAGTCGAAAGGCTGCTGTGCTTAGGGTGTGCCGCTCCCTATCTTCCTTCCCGACACTCCAATAATAGTTAAAACGTGCAATACGTTTATCAACCATTCAAATTTTAACTGATCTTCAGCATGATATCTTTGATATTTTCAGCCATTGTAACTGGTCCGACTAGATCATTTACAAATATAAAGAAAAAAGGATAAGAAATTAAATTGAAATTTTCTATTCTATACGAAACACTATATAAACTGCTAATTTTGAAAATGAAGGAAGTAAGGGGGGTCCTTATTATTACTTAAAGTGGCGTCTTGATTGATTTCGTGGTATTCAAGATCCAGTTGCATGCATTTTTTGTTATGATGATTTAAACCGGCAATACAGTATACACATATTGTGAAACAATGTCCCTTGAAATAGTTTGACGCGCTTTGAAATCTCAATCTTACAGACTGTAAGCTTACCAGCGATCCATATTTTTTCTTTGTGTAGTATATACAACGAGGGCACATTCCAATCCAAGGGTTTTTAGGTTCTATATTGTTTCGACCTGTGTATGCAATATATATACATCAACCACCACCATACAATTCACATTTCAAATATACTTTCAACGCATGACTCGTGTATATAGCATCAAAGTGGCTTAAATAAATGAAGCTTCATAATATGGGCACCAGCTAATTATGAAACCTTTTTTTAATTTTTCTTGAATTTACCCTCAGAATTTTCCTTTACTGGAGATAATAACGGTTTGTTAATTAGTTCTTTGATATTTGAATTTTTATTTTTTTAAATCCAAATATCCAGAAATCAATCTTTAATCATATCTATGTAGTTTTAGTGTTGAGAGTATGTACCCTTTTAACAGTGTAATGTTTCATTCTGCCAGTGTTTGTGTTTTACTGATAAAAACGTGTGAGACGATGTTATTAACCTGATAGAAGCACAGCTCTGAGCGTAGTGGGACATCGTGAGAGAGTGTGTGTTACGAGTTATGGCCATTCTAATGACTACTTGTGAAATATGTTGTGCGATGCGCATATCGATTTCAAGGTCGAAGCACTCTAGGAAAACAACGTTCCAGCATTTCTTGTGATTCTACGCCGATATTTCCAGACCGTTTTATGTTGTCGTCTTGAGTATGCCGGTAAGAAATATGGGATCGAAGCTGTGTTATCGAGGAACCTTTTAAAATTGGTTTACACTTATTGATAGAATAGTTCATAGCATCGTGTAGAAAACTCAGAGAGGCGGTTAAATAAACAACGATATCCCTATAGGTTCACAAGCGCTGCAGGATCGCCAAACAGATTAATATCATAAATTTGTTGTCAGGAAATGTAAAATTGTTGGCAGTAATTTACTTATTCTATACGAAAAGCAACACATATTAGATAGCATCATGAATAAATTGTTTATGTGCATTTTCTTAATGAACTTATAGGCATGTTTAATGATCGCCATTATGATCTCAATGGGATATATAAATATTACATTTCCTAATGTGATATGAAGATCGATATCTTTCTGATGCTCGTAAGTGAGTATCATTGATTCGTTGTCACCTGTTCTAGGTCTGAGAACGTGAAATGACTTGTAATTAACCTAGGTTTACATGGCAGGCATCGTCGATGATGAAGAAGAAAACACTTACCTTCCTGACCTCCTATATATTCTATATGAAGCGTCTTCTTGTAAATAGTTCCCTTGTTTATATAAGTACGTAACCCTACATTTAAGGATTTATATGTAATTAAGTTTTTTGTTCAAAAGTTCATTCCATTAAACAAAAGAATAGATTCGTTGTTTATCTTCTATTTTTCTAAATGTCGCTTAAAGTTTATTTGGTTTGGCTAAAGTACAGTGTTATTGGGTTAAGCGTGCTATTATCAGTTTAGGTCATTTGAGGGGGTGCTTACATGTGTATCATGTATGCGTGTATAGGAATATGGTTGCTATAGGTGGTATGTTGGCGTATTTGCTACGTTGCGGAAGCGCCCGACTGAAATATTATGCCGAAAGTATCAAACACAGCGTTTCGCCCGATCAGATTATACTGACAACGGATCAATCAGTTGTTATGATTACCAGAATTGCTGAAAGTTAAGCAGGAATAACAACTACAAGTTTTAAGGAGTGTGTTCCATCCATTTTCCAAAACCCAGTGCCTCGCATAGGCGAACACTCCACACTAAGGCCAAATGTGATGTTTGCCAAGAAGGGCGCTAGTGAAGAAAACAAATATTAGGAAGTAAAAAGAAAGTATAAAGATCCCATATGTTAATATGGATACGGCAGATTTTCTTTTTGTATTCCCGAATAAAGGGCACGAAAGCCAATCCCAAATTTTGCAGGGGTTTTCCACAGTAGTTGTCTTTTATCATATGCTCAGTCTCCGACTCACAGGGCTTACTAAAACCGGGATTAACATAGGTTAAATAATAATCATTGTCAAATGCGAAAATCCATTAATTTGCATAAACTAAAGATTGATACCTATCTACAGTTTTATCGAATTCAATGCGACAGTAGTTTGGTACTTTATATGTTCATATATAAGCATTTGCTTTTGAATGTGTTTAAAGAACTTTGATCTAGTATTACACAAAGGTCACGTACCGTACAGGGGTCATACGAAGGTGTGTTTACCTCAGGAACACTCCACATACCATTGTCGACATCACGATTCAACTATCCAACATCCATACCTAATTGCCCTCTTTTGTTTGTTTACAATTCATTTGCTGATAGATATGTTTGCAGTGTTTGTCATTTTGATCACCTAGGGTCCAATCGTAGTTCATGACGAAGGTAATTTTAAATTCTATTTCACTCTTGAAATATACTTCAATTATAACACGTTCAATATCAATACCCGGATGATACACCGTCTGTAAATAATACATATACCTAGCCTGTCAGCAAACTAATATTAACAGTAGGATCTGACAGGTAGCATTCCGGGGAGGACATCTCATTGTCATACACATGTGACTATCAGCCAACTGGTACAATCAGTTTGTGATGTTAACATGGTGACAATACAGAGAGAATATTTCAGTGTACCAGTTGGGTTATGTTACAGTGTTAGCTTACAAAAAGTAATAAGAGAAAACAGACATGTCAGCAGAAGTTATTCGAACTCAACATGATAAAACTAGGGGGCAAAATATGAACAAAATATATATTTACATAAAGCACCTTAATAAAGTACAAGGAACGTAAGACCAGATGTTCTGGAAGGGTAAGCGTCTTCTGCTTCGTCGCCAACACCTGCCTTTTAAATCCAGGTCAGGTATTGACAACAATAGCACAAGGCACACTAAGAAACATAATAAAAAAAACGTCGACCTTCATACCACACAAAAATAGTATATTTCCCTAATGAGATAATTATGGAAACCATAAAACGTGTCCATATTCATCATCAACCTGCATCTTTGGAAACCCTGAGTTGTACGTTTTTCCGTCAGCAATCAGCATCTATCACAGATATCAAGATTTTCGGAGCCTGCTCTTGAATACCAAATCAATTGCAAAATGTAAACACTGTAGGTAGGGGAAACATGGATGTTACTATCAAAAAAGGGAAATTTTAACGATAGGAAAGTTAAATCGTCCGGCTTTTAGTGCAGGTAAGTAGAAACCGTCCCTGTTGCTGATGTTATAAGTAAAGATCGAGGGAAGCGGCTGAAGTAGACGACTGTATTGTCACGGACTGCATGCTCTAGAAGGCATAATACGATCAATATGGACAATACATTCCTCGTTGTTTAAAGACAATACATCTTCGATATATTTGAATGTGAACTTGAATGCCTTAGCTATAGTGCAGAGTTTCACACTGCTAGTAAAGTGTTCTGATCTATATATACTTTAAAAGTAGTGTGATACCCCTCTGGTGTTATATTTTATGAGGACAACGACGTCTATGGATTTGATGATAGTAGAATCAATGTTAGTATAAATGCGGTTATGTAGCACCATACTTGAGTGCATGATGTTTCTAGTATTAACAAAAAACAATGTCAATGCTGTTCATATCGCTTAGGAGGTACGGTGGTCTAGTGGTAGGACGCCGGGCTCGTGACCGAAGGGTTGCGGGTTCGAGTAACGTCACGGCACTGTGTTGTATACTTAAGATACTTTACTCCGCATGTTCCAGTCTACTTGGCTGTAAATGAGTACGTGGTTGGGCAGTACTAGAATTGTAGAATGCTAGTTGTGAGCGCCGGAATGGCAGCACTGGCTGCATGCTCCCCAAGGGAGTTGAGAAAGATATTGGCTGGTTGCAAAGGCCCTAAAACCACGGATAATAATTCGTGAACCGCTTTGAGACGCCCTACGAATTAGTTTGTGATAAAGCGGTATATAAGAACCTTGAATTATTATTATTAATTGAATACAAAAATACTTTAAGAGTAATGTAAGACACGTCCATAGGAAATCAGTGTATGTTATTTCTGTATGTATCTGTACTTTACTAATTATACAATATTATATTAGATTGCAATCGATTTCCTTAACCGTACCCCAAATCCATGTACCTGATAAGAAAACATCTACATAAAATTGGTCTGTAACATAATATTTGAATTTTGAATAAAAATTGTTTTAATATCGTAACATTTCTCTATGTACTTAATATATATACTTTTAACCTTTTATCATTCAGTGTCCTGTTGGTGCATTGAGTTTTGTTAATGTTGCTTGCTTGATTGTCAGGCCCCATTTGACATTACTGTTGCTGGGCCGTTAATTGAATAATCCTTCAACCAAGCTCAACTACACAATATTTAATTACTGTTTCTATGTAATTTAATGCACTATTAGGTATATGTCTTGTATTTTAATGTCCTTAAATCTTTAATACTAATAGATTTTTCACAGTACATTAAGCATATATAATTAATGAGTATCATGTACTGTTTTCAATAAAGGCAGTTAGGAGTAAGATATTTTACATCAAGTTGTAGTTGTTTAATTAATTATTCCATGGTAAGTTATTCAAACTCTCAAACCCATTCTGCTAATAGAACAAATAGCCGTTCTGTTAATTGAACAAATAGAATTCTAAATATTTGTGTACTTTTTTTCACTATCCTTATAAGTCTGTCATTTGATAACATGTTTCTGTATATGAAGACCTAAGATTATTATATTGAGTAGTTCACAGTGATTGATTAAGTATATCATTAAAGGTTAGTGTGGCATGATGAAATATTACCTTGTGCAGTAAGAATTTGCTGTTGATATGACAATTAAGGTTCCTCGTCATCAGCTTCATGTCTAGACATTCACTTACAGAATAAAGTTAATGCTCACTTCGATGGCACATTTAATTGAATTTCAAGATAGTTAAGTTTCCTTTCCTTTAAAGGATTAAATGTTACAATGGATTCGTTACTCGAAGGGGTTGTTATAATATAAGCTTACGTATTTGGCCAATAAATCACATTTTCTGTGATATCCAACTGGATTGGTGATAATCCCACCTGGCGAAAATGTTATGATTTTGTATTATTGTTAATGCCTCATTTGATCAAATGCTTGTCATCCAGGGGTAAGACGGCCAAATTGCATTTTGACATATGAAAGTCCAAACAATAAAAGCAGATGATTCGTTTAGCAAAACATATGATGCAAAGTTTTGCTTGTACACCATTTCCACTGGATAACTGTTTTGTAATGCATTGTGACGTTAAACAGTACCTTATTTGGTAATTTTCCTATAACACCTACTTTGAATTCTATGTAACTTGTAACTATAGTTCATGCAAACAGCGAATCCTTTGGTAGGTGATTTATGTACTAGTATGTTAAAAAAATCATTACTGAGAATTACATTATGGAAGATCGGAAAAACATATGTTTCTTTTTTTAAGACGATGAATATTAGACTACGTCCATGCAGTTTAATGTTAAAGACCATAGCTGTAAATAGGACGCTAACTCAAACAAACCAAACGTTTAATGTTATGCATATATCAATAAAAATATCAACAAGATTATTATTAAAGATATTCGCCTCGGGCAGAGCAATATCAAGCAAATCACGGAAAATAAGTAACAAAGAGAAATCATGTTGACTGCTGACTGATGTTAAAGTTTATATTTTTGCTTGGATCTGATTTATACTGATTGTATTCATAGCGATAAAAATAAGAATATGTTGTCATTTGAATACATACACGGATATAAAAAGTGTAGCATCACTATTTCTGGATTTATGTTTCCCCCAGTTTGTTTGTTTTAAACTTATATATATCAATATATGTTCAATATATTTCTTTTGTTAAATCCATCTTTTTGAGTTTATGTCTGTACCCACGACCAAGTTAATATTACAGTTTTGTCTTTACCTATAGTGAATGTAATTCCGTCTTGTTGAGTTTCTATGTCTACGAACAGAATGTGTCTTATTCCATCTCGATGTATTACAATGTTTCCATCTTTTTGTATTTCAGTGCCTATACCCAGAAACTATTGCCTTTCTCAACACTGTGTCCGGACAGGTCAGTATGTGTAACGTAGGACTTCCTTAACACCATGTTTGATTGTTGTCGGGTTTTTTTTGGTTGTTTTTTTTGCAAAAAATCGATGATAAGTTATAGTAGAGTACAATTAAGTACATATACGTTGCAAAATAATGATGACCAATATGGATGATCAAAGGAAAACATGATGAATTAAGTGGACTTAGCTTGCCGCGCTACTTAACATATGTGTACTGCCGCAAACATAACTATGTATATGAATACCGTCGCGTGATAGTCAGTTTTACTTTACAATGTGCATACGAATATTTCCTCTTCACGAACTTGTAAGGATACTGTCGTATTTTGTTCACGCCGGGCTTGCTGAGATAACTGGATTAAACGCAGAATGTAGCTGTCTACTTCAATTGAAGTATTGCTCATAACTACTGGATATCAAATTGAAGTGTTACATTGAAAGGGAAATATGAACGAATAAATTCAGCTCTTTTCAGAAAATGCACACATTGTGGGAAGTAATAGCATTGCCTTACACACAACTGACGCTAGGCATGCACGGATGCTCATGTATCATAAATTCAATTTCAGACTGAAAGAGCGCATCATTATTGAATGTCATTCTCCTGAAACATAAAATTTATGTAACAAATTGAAATAATTGTTTGTTAAAAACCTCTTATTTCTGTGGAGATAATTCAATAAATATTTTGTATTTACTAAAGCGGCCATGTTGCTGGAAGCCATGGATCTGTCAGTGGATCCGTGTGAGGACTTTTTTCAATACGCATGCGGCAATTGGAACCGTAAAAATATCATCCCAGACGACAAATCCAGCTTTAACACCTTCGAGAAGCTTCACGATGACCTACAAATAACACTCAAGGGTAAGATATATAACCGGTAGAGACTCTGGTATAACGATGCATAGCTTCTATCGGGAAATCGTCACCATTTAGAACAGTTCTTCATTCCTTGGTCAGTTAGCTTCCATCTAAAGACAACCTGAAAATATATGAGCTTATACATGAACTATTTTTGGCGCTGATCCTTAAGAGCTACTAATGGTCCCAAAACTATAATTATGCGCAGGAATAAAATGGTATTGTAAATCATATACATAATTCTCTAAAAACTTTTATAACTGCATCGTTTTATGTAAGTATCAAGTCATCAATGAGAGATTATCATAGTATCATATATGTATATAGACAGTTAGTTATCAAGTCATCATTTTATCACATAATGTACTGTGTTATCCAGTGAAAATATACCCGTGTCATATTTTGTTGCCTATTAACCCATGTAATATGACCTATCAGCCATGTGATTGGTTGTAAGTTTCAATTGTTTTAATTGTGACGTCACGCCTAGGACAAGTACATGACGTCACAGACTTACGCACTGGAGTCAAAATGGCGGCTTTTTTCAAGGTTGCATACAAATTATCGTTTTACACGATTAAATGCATAAAATCTTGATTATGTGATAAAAAGGATTTTACATGAGTTTTCATTTCATAAGAAATTTATGAAACTCGTCATGATTTTTTTTAAGCTCGTCAAAGGCTCGCTAAATAGAACAATTCTTAGACTAGTTTCATAAATCTCATATGAAATGGAAACTCATGTAAGATCCTATATGTAGTCAAGATGAGTAACATCTTACACAGTATTAATATATTCTATAAGTTAAGAGCTCAAATCGTGCTTGTGTTGTTGATATCATAAGACAAAAAATATAAAGATAGCAATCCTTTAGAACTTCGCCTTTTCAGACTGTCCTGCAGACAATTTTCGTGGCGTCATAAATATAAACCGTGTGCAGGGTTACAGTGAAACAAAATGTAAACATTAAATAATCAATATCCTTTAAAAGGATATGAAGCAGAGATATTCAAACAAGCACATATATATGTATGTGTACCATATTATATCGCATGTTTTGTATGAATCAAAGAAAAATGCTCTTCATTCTCTTTTTGTTTTTAATCTAGTCTAATAACCAGACAGGGTTACTTTCATTAAAATTATTATAAAAATAATCAGACATCGTTACTTTTATCAAAATTAATGTAAATGAATTATGATATAGGCGTATCTTGGCGTTTTTTGTCAGTAAACTTCTATCTATCAAAATTTTGGTTTGGAATTTTTTATTTCGGTCCATTAAAACTATTTTCATTTGGAAACTGGAATATGCTTCGTTTCTGTTCTGGAAGATCTTAACCCTTTATGCCAAGAAGCGAATATCAAGAAGTCGTATAACTCTTCTTATCTTCGTTTAAAAACGCATATTTAAGGTCAGCTACGATGTTATGTTATATCATTTCATTAAAATCAACTCTGCGGCACTTAAATTGTTAAAAACGAGGATAAAAATCTTGAACGATAACAAGACATTTTTTCTGCAGCAAAATGCTTTATGATTTATAATCTAACCAAAGAAATAAAGAAATATATATCTAATAAGTGTTCTTTGATAACAGGTTTATTGGAAGAACCGGTGAGTACCGCAGACAGTGAAGCTACCAAGAAAGTGAAGGTTCTGTACAAATCCTGCATCAACATATGTAAGTACAGATGTTATCCAGTCCAGTTAATAAACATTTATCTTTACCTCGCTACGTAATCTGTTTGTCTGCTCCTGATAAAGATATCATCTTTAACCATGTCTTTATCGTTATACCCCCCTTGTCTACTGCCTATAGTACACATACTCCAGACGCAGAAATGTCAGCATGAACAGAAAAGGCAATTCGTTACCCTCCAAAAGGTTGCCTTTCTCTGCAATGTGTTATACGTTGTGATGTATCACTGTTTGGTGTTATCTGGTTTTTTGAAAAAACAATATAGAAAAACGTCACATTTATATCTTCCTATTTCAGTTAGTATGGTCCATTTTTGACACCGGTGTCAAACTGAAAAATTACTCTGTGTTAGGAATAAATTTTGACAAATATCAACAACCGCAATAAATTGTTGGATATTTTGTATTTTTTCGAATCATCTACATTAATAATATTACTGTAGTGACTAGCGACATAAGTGTAGCTAGGTATAACTTCCTGTTTAAATATAGAACACATTGTGTAGGTATAACTTCCTGTTTACGTATAGAACAGAATGTGTAGCTAGGTATAACTTCCTGTTTACATATAGAACACAATGTGTAGCTAGGTATAACTTCCTGTTTACATATAGAACACAATGTGTAGCTAGGTATAACTTCCTGTTTACATATAGAACACAATGTGTAGCTAAGTATAACTTCCTGTTTACATATAGAACACAATGTTTAGCTAGGTATACCTTCCTTTTTACGTATATAGAACACAATGTGTAGCTAGGTATATCTTCCTGTTTACATATAGAACCCAATGTGTAGCTAGGGATAACATAACTTCCTGTTTATTACTTCCTGTTTACATCTAGAACACAATGTGTCGCTAGGTATAACTTCCTGCTTATAACTTCCTGTTTATGTATAGACCACAAAGTGGAGCTAGGTATATCTTACTGTTTACATATAGAACCCAATGTGTAGCTAGGAATATCTTCCTGTTTACATATAGAACCCAATGTGTAGCTAGGCATAACTTCCTGTTTACATATAGAACCCAATGTGTAGCTAGGCATAACTTCCTGTTTACATATAGAACACAATGTGTAGCTAGGTATAACTTCCTGTTTGCATATAGAATACAATGGGTAGCTAGGTATAACTTCCTGTTTACATATAGAACACAATGTGTAGCTAGGTATAACTTCCTGTTTACGTATAGACCACAAAGTGTAGCTAGGTATAACTTCCTGTTTACATATAGAACACAATGTGTAGCTAGGTATAACTTCCTGTTTATAACTTCCTGTTTGCATATAGAATACAATGTGTAGCTAGGTATAACTTTCTGTTTACATATAGAACACAATGTGTAGCTAGGTATAACTTCCTGTTTGCATATAGAATACAATGGGTAGCTAGGTATAACTTCCTGTTTACATATAGAACACAATGTGTAGCTAGGTATAACTTCCTGTTTACATATAGAACAATAAATTAAAAACGCACATCTTATCTGTACTCTGATCACGTGAGATGGCATGGTGACAGTTTATTAGACGCCATTTTAGTTTTTATGAATCATTTCGTTCTATTGCTAGCGATTCTTGCCTGGGAAGCATAATCAGGTCTTGCATTTATATAGTTCACCTCCTATATGTGCTTCTTAAAAAGTATAACACTCTTTACCACGCTCTTGCTTTAAGCAATACTACTACTAATGATAGTTAACACTGAGACATAAATATTACTTTATTGAATTAATATTTAAACCTCTTTCACTGATAAAAATGTACTGAATGCACATTATCAAAAAGGACGGACAAATTAAGATTCGAATGCAAAACTAAAGCATGTAAATTATCCTCAAACATTTAAGTTGGTTAATACATATGATGTTTCAGGCGGATGAAAAGGCGAATTGGTAAAACGGTCTGAGATACCTCGTGTTACATCGTTCAAATAGCGTTAAACTTATAAAATAAGACAATAAAATTTTCTCTATTTTCGTGTATGTATGTATTGTGCGGATACCATTTATGATAACGACACATCAAATTGTCTGCTAGATGTTTAATGGATTTTAATTTTTTCTGAATTTGCAGACAGCGATCAGTTAAGCCCCCCATGTTTATTAAAACGGCTCGAAATGGTTTTAACGACACAATAAAGTTTTCGGTTTTATGTGAATATATTTATGTTGCTTGGATCAGTAACATCGTCATGAAAAATATAATGAGTATGATTATCTTTGTTACATAATAACCAATATATCTGTTTCTGTAACTGTGATATAATGGTGTGATCGTCCTTCTGCAATCATAATATCTACGGTAGTTTTAGCACTTTGTTGTCTGTCCTATTCTTCAATTAGTTAGACAAATGATATCACAAAGACGATATTTAACATCAAATTAAAAAACGGGATTTAAGCAAGAATTATCTCACTAACATTACTTTATATACAACCTAACCTCATTACAAAATTACCAAACATTAACCTGACTGACATAAATGTCAGCATTCGTTTGTATTTTTTAAATCATTGAATAAAGCAAGACAAAGTTACATTATTTATGACACGTTATAATGTGTGGAACTCTTCTGGAAGAAAATGCATAGTACGCCGACTTAACGTACACCCTTAAAAGATAAACACCGTAAAGTCATGTGCTTTGTGCCGTGCAGAAACTCGACACGACACACACAACATCGTCCATTAAATTATTTTCAACATGATACATTTATTTTACCATTTTTATGTACATGATATATATGAGTGTTTGGTTGTGGTGGGGAGTTGAATGCAATGTGGATTAACAGATATATTTGTACTGTCAGACTCCCAATATTTGCGGTTATAAATATTTAAATAAGTTTAATAGCGTTACAATTTCGAAATGAGTCGTTGCTGAGGTGTGAAAGTCCGCACTTCAATAACTAATTGTAAAATAGTTTTATGTGCATACAACACTGCTCGTAAAACTGGGGCACATGCAAACCTTTAACGGATTTTGACCTGTATAAGAGTACGGCTATATACTGTCTTCGCCACGTATATAACGCCCTATATATAAGCGGTGTAATTGGAATGTAGCACCGTCTTGTGGAGACGGTATTTACAGGGCGGAAAACGCCTTACAATTACCAAAAGTCGCTTCAGTGCTTCATGTTTGAGCTTCAGAAGCTGAACCGAAGCCTATAATATAAAGTATCGGATAATGACTACAGCTATTGATTCAGAGAGTTATATTACCCAGAACTTCTGATCTGTTCACAAGTGTAATCGTGCTTAGAGGATTTGTAAGTAGCTCTAATTAAAATTTCACGCTCAGACAATTAATTCTGCAGTATGCGTGCATCGATATGTATATCATAGTATGACGAAAGGTCATATCAGGATGCAAGTACGCGTTCCTGTGTATAGACCATGTCAGGATGCATGTTAAAGTACAAGCAAGCTATCCTGTGTATAGATCATGTCAGGGTACAGGTACGCTATCCTGTGTATAGACCATGTCAGGATGCATGTTAAAGTACAAGCAAGCTATCCTGTATATAGACAATGTCAGGGTACAAGTATGCTATCCTGTGTATAGATCATGTCAGGGTACAGGTACGCTGTCCTGTATATAGACCATGTCAGGGTACAAGTATGATATCCTGTGTATAGATCATGTCAGGGTACAGGTACGCTGTCCTGTATATAGATCATGTTAAAGTATAAGTACGCTGTCCTGTATATAGACCATGTTAAACTACAAGTAAGCTATCCTATATATAGATCATGTCAGGTTACAAGTACGCTGTCCTGTATATAGACTTTGTCAGGGTACAAGTACGATGTCCTGTATATAGACTTTGTAAGGGTACAAGTACGCTGTCCTGTATATAGCCTTTGTCAGGGTACAAGTATGTGTCCTGTATATAGACTTTGGCAGGGTACAAGTATGATATCCTGTATATAGACCATGTCAGGTTACAAGTACGCTATCCTGTATATAGACCATTTCAGGGTACGAGTACGCTATCCTGTATATAGACTTTGTCAGGGTACAAGTACGCTGTCCTGTATATAGACTTTGTCAGGGTACAAGTAAGCTATCCTGTATATAGACCATGTCAGGATGCAAGTACGCTGTCCTGTATATAGACTTTGTCAGGGTACAAGTAAGCTATCTTGTATATAGACCATGTCAGGATGCAAGTACGCTGGCCTGTATATAGACTTTGTCAGGGTACAAGTATGCTATCCTGTATATAGACTTTGTCAGGGTGCAAGTATGCTATCCTGTATATAGACCATGTCAGGGTACAAGTATGCTATCCTATATATAGAGTTTGTCAGGGTACAAGTATGATATCCTGTATATAGCCTTTGTCAGGGTACAAGTATGCTATCCTGTATATAGACCTAGACTTTGTCAGGGTACAAGTAAGCTATCCTGTATATAGACCATGTCAGGGTACAAGTACGCTATCCTGTATATAGACTTTGTCAGGGTACAAGTACGCTGTCCTGTATATAGACTTTGTCAGGGTAAAAGTATGATATCCTGTGTATAGACCATGTCAGGGTACAAGTATGCTATCCTGAATATAGACTTTGTCAGGGTACAAGTACGCTATCCTGTATATAGACGATGTCAGGGTACAAGTACGCTATCCTGTATATAGACCATGTCAGGGAACAAGTATGCTATCCTGGATATAGACCATGTCAGGGAACAAGTATGCTATCCTGGATATAGACCATGTCAGGGCACAAGGACGCTGTCCTGTATATAGTCTTTGTCAGGGTACAAGGATGCTATCCTGTATATACACCATGTCAGGGTACAAGTGCGCTATCCTGTATATAGACCATGTCAGGGTACAAGTATGCTATCCTATATATAGAGTTTGTCAGGGTACAAGTATGCTATCCTGTATATAGACTTTGTCAGGGTACAAGTATGCTATCCTGTATATAGACTTTGTCAGGGTACAAGTACGCTATCCTGTATATAC